TTTGACATTTTAGACGACATTGATTATAAATTGAAGAACCGGAATTCTCGTGACTAACCGCTATGGACTCCGCATTTATAACGCTCTTCACGATTCCGATTTTGACAGTGAAAGGAAAGAGACATGCCAATGATGCTACTCAAGCCACTTGACTTTTGAAAGTAAATTTTATCTGTACACAGTTATTCTATTTCATTTCCCATTCATGTTTGTGTTATTCTCTCCTTACTTTTCTTCTTCTGTCTCTCTTTTTCTCTATCTGATTTGCTGCCTGTTCCTAAAATCCCGTTGGGTCTGTTTATTTATGTCTGTTTTTATACAAATACCCGATGGTTAAAATAATATCAGTCAATTGTCAAGGTCTTGGTGATATCGCAAAGCGCAGAGATGTTTTTAACTACCTTAAGTCCTTAAAGTGTAATATGTATTGTTTGCAAGATACTCATTTCTCAGCAGAAATGGAAAATGATATTCGAAATCTGTGGGGATACGAATGTTTTTTTTAAGCTCATACACCACTAATTCCAGAGGAGTGGCTATTTTAATAAATAACAATATTGATATCAAAGTAATCTCAGAAAAAAGGTGATGCTGATGGAAATTATCTAATACTTAAAACATGTATAGAAAACCATTAGGTATTGATATGTAATGTTTATGCTCCAAATACTGATAAACCTGATTTTTTTGAAAGTATACAAAATCATATAGAAGATTTGCAGTGTAGTAATATTATCTGGTGTGGAGATTTCAATTTGGTTTTGAATCCCGAGTTAGATTATTATAACTATAAAAAAGTAAATAATCCAAATGCAAGGAGCAAACTCTTAGAAATAATAGAGATTAATGGCTATGTAGATCCTTTTAGACAACTTCATGAGTCACTTCGTAGATATTCATGGAGGAAAAAGTCTCCATTAAAACAAAGTAGGTTAGATTTTTTCCTACTGTCAGAGCCACTTTTATCAGGATTAGATACATGTACAATAGAGCCAAGTTACAGATCAGATCATTCTATCATTTCTCTCTCGTTAGTATTTAATGACTTTAAGAGAGGTCGCGGCTTGTGGAAATTCAATAACTCATTACTTTATGATGAAAAGTACTTGAACTGTATTAAGGATGTTATCTTACAGGTTAAAAGACAATATGCAATTCCAGTTTACAATTATGACAACATGCACACAGTACCAGATGAAAATATATTCTTCACAATAAATGATCAATTATTTTTGGAAACCTTACTATTAGAAATAAGGGGTAAAACTATCTCTTATTCATCATATGTCAAAAAGAAGAGAGAAAATGAGGAAAATTCTTTGATCAATGACATTAAAAGTATGGAAGAAAATATTTCTGAAAGTAACTTAGAAGAACTATACAATAAAAAACAAGAATTAGAAAAAATTAGAAAGCACAAGTTACAAGGTAATTACATAAGAAGTAGAGCAAGATGGATTGAGGAAGGGGAAAAGCCCACAAACTATTTTTGTAAACTGGAGTCAAGGAATTTTACAAGTAATATCATATCAAGATTAGAAATAAATAATGGTGAGGTTATTCATGATCAGTCACAGATTTTGAAAGAAATCAAATCTTTCTATGAAAATTTATATACAATTAAAGAAGGGAATACAGACTTAAATTTAGATAATGAGTTGATACATACTGATGTTCCCAAACTTTCTTGTGAAGAATCAAACCATTTAGAGGGTGAAATAACCTTGTTAGAAGCCTCAAATACTCTTTATAATATGAAGGCTAATAAATCTCAAGGATCCGATGGTTTCTCTACAGAGTTTTTTAAAATGTTTTGGAAATATATTGGGTCTTTTGTCGTAAGATCTATTAACTATGGTTACAGGAATGATATCATGTTTATTACACAAAGACATGGAGTTATAACATTATTACCTAAAGGTGACAAGCCAAGACATTTTCTTAAAAACTGGCGTCCTATTACACTGCTAAATACTGTATATAAAATAGCATCTGGCTCTATTGCAAACAGATTTAAAAAAATATTTAGATAAAATAATCAACCCTGACCAAACTGGTTTTATCTCCAACAGATATATTGGAGAAAACATAAGATTGATATATGATATAATGCACTTTACAGAAGAAGAAGATATTCCAGGACTTTTATTACTGATCGATTTTGAGAAAGCTTTTGACTCTCTTTCCTGGAACTTCATACAAAAAGCATTACATTTATTCAATTTCGGCCCTTCCATCAGAAAATGGGTCAATCTTTTTTACACGGATATTAAAGCTACTGTTAATCAAGGTGGTAATTTTTCTGATGTAATTGATATTCAGAGGGGATGCAGACAAGGAGACCCTTTGTCTCCATATATTTTTTTTGATCTGTGCAGAGATTCTAGCCATACAAATTAGGAAAAATAAAAAAAAATAAAAGGTATTACCATTAGAAATGTAGAAAAAAAGATCTCTCAACTGGCAGATGATACTTCCCTTATTCTTGATGGAAGTGAGGAGTCTCTTTTAGAAACACTGAAAACTTTGAACACATTCTCAGATATGTCTGGATTATGCATTAACTTCTCAAAAACACACACTGTGTGGATTGGATCCAAAAAATACAGTGATGAGGTTTTAATCCCAAATTATCAACTTAATTGGGGAACTACTAGATTTACTTTATTAGGTATAAATTTTTATGTTGACCTAGATAAAATGGGTGAAATAAATTATCAAACAAAGCTAGTGCAAATCAAGTCTATTCTTAATCAATGGGGAAAAAGGTTTTTAACTCCAATTGGAAAAATTACTGTTATAAAGACATTGGCTTTACCTATATTAAATCATTTATTTATGTCAATCCAAAATCCATCTAATTCTTATTATAAAGAATTAGAAAAACTTTTTTTCTCATTCTTATGGAATAATTCAACTCATAGAGTTAAGAAAGATGTCATTGTTAAAAAATATGAGGATGGAGAACTGAAAATGATAAACTTAAATGCTTTCATTGTTTCTTTGAAATTAGTTTGGATAAGACATCTAGTTTTTACAAATAAAGGGTGGGAAAATTTCATCCCAAATATGAATATATATAAATTTGCATCCTGTGGTATTGAATACATCACTCAACTTATGAAAACCTTAAAAAATAAATTCTGGATTGATGTGTTCAAGTCCTGGGTTGATTTGAATAGAATTTGTACTGATTCTGATGCTACTGTAGACTCTCCACTGTTTTATAACCCTATGATCCATATTGGAGGGAAAACCTTTTATAGTAAAAAACTTTTTGACAATAATATTAGATATATTAATGACATTATTGGAGTAGATGGCTTTTTTTATAGCTATGAATGCTTTTGCAATACTTATCCAGATATAAAGATTAATTTTTTAGAATATTCTAGCTTGATCCATGCAATTAAAGCTTGGATAAAGAGGAGCAATTTCGATAAAAATATACAAAAATCAGAAAATCCTCTTATTATGTCTAACTTTTATCTTGTATCAAAATGCAAAAAATCAAAAAAACTTCTATGAAATTCTCAATAAAAATTCTTCTATAACAGCTGGTTACAAAAAATGGATTGAATTATTTGATTTGGATAGCAAGGAATGCAAAATAATTCATAAATTACCATTTCAAGTCACAAAAAACTGTAAACTTCAGTGGTTTCAGTACAGGATTTTAAATAAATATTGGCAACAAATTCTTTTTTATTCAAAATTAAGAAGGTTGTTTCAAAGCAATGTACTTTTTGTCAAAAAGAAGAAGAGACAATTGAACATATCTTATGGGAATGTGATCTTGTACAATCACTCCTTGAAAACTTTGAATATTATCTCCAGCAGAAAAACCTCCATATGTCCATAACAAAAAAATCATTTATTTTAGGTATTGGAGGAAAAAATAATGAAATAGTTAATATCTTAATCTTATGGTTGAAATATTATATTTATACTTCTAGATGCACTGAAAAACCTCTAAATGTGCACTCTGCGATATCACACTTGAGTTATTTTTACCAAACACAAAAATATATATCATATAAAAATGGTGAAAAAGAGAAATTTGACGATCAGTGGAACAGGTGGAACCAACTATTTTGTAACTCTCTCTCTCTCTCTCTCTCTCTCTCTCTCTCTCTCTCTAAATATATACACAATTCTGTTAAAGAAAAGATATTGGACATTTTGTATATAATGAATTGTGTTGAAAAAATAAAATAATTTAAAAAAAAATTAATTCAAATTACAAAAAAAAAAAAAAAAAAAAAAAAAAAAAAAGAATTATGCTTTGATGTAATTTTTTTTTGTCGCATTTGGTTTCTTTTCAAATAAACGTCCAACACCCAAAGGCAGATACTGTGCATTGGAACATGAACCAGGAACAGTTATCGGAACAAACTTGAATAATTACTACATGGGGATAAACTTTTTGATTTTTCATTCGAATTTCAAAGATCTTTTCCACTTCATTTCTATGTCAAACTTTCATTCCTTTTTGTGGTCCCACCTAGCCCTGTGTGCAAAGATTTGAACAAATTAGACGGACAACAGATAGATACTGATCAAAAAACGCTTGGCTCAACTGATCTAAAAATATATCCAAAAAGGCATTGGAAACATTATTCAGACTAAGAGAAAATGAAATAAATCTACCATATCTAATTATCAATTAGATATTATTACTTTTTCCTTATTGAAAAATATGAATTCAAAGGGAATTGCGCACAATCGTTTCACAAAAACTATAAAAAAATTATTTTAAAAATTTCAAAATGTAGAAATTCAGAAAAGATGGAAAATGAGTTTATTAAAACGTTTTGGCGACCTACTCTACCAAAATAAGTGGAAGCAAAACATGAACTTCAGGTAACATCTGGTTGTTATTACATCTGTAATCGTCACAACAGCACTCAGTAAGTTTTTTTTTTTCTACAACATTAGCATTACAAAACGATGACGCATATGACCATGACCGAATTTTTTTTCCATTCTCCTTGATGTTATTACCTTGTGCAGCATGGCTTATTACAGCAAGAACATAGTCCGCTAATGAAGCAAACTGTTGAAGTAATTTCATTCGTATCATCGCATCGAACACTTTCATCACTGTGTCGATTCAATATTTCTGAAATGAAAATATGGTCATTTTCTGAGGCTAAATGCAGAGGTGACTGATTGTTAATATCACATATGTTGATGTCGGCGTCGTTATTAACAAGTTCTTTTACAACAGATAGATGACCCCCTAAAGACGCATAATGTAGAGGGGACCGACCTTTAATATTACACTTGTTAATGTTGGCACCGTGATCAATAAGGTAAGTTACAACAAGAAGATGGCCTTCAAATGAGGCAAAAAAGAGAGGAGACCGACCATGAATATCACGTAGATTGATGTCGGCACCGTGATCAATAAGGTTTTTTACAACATGAAGATTGCCTTCTACTGACGCTACATGAAGAGGTGATCGACCTTTAATATCACACTTGTTGATGACAGTATTGTGTTCAATAAGTTTTTCTACAACATTGAAATGACCTTCTAATGAAGCTAAATGAATAATATCATTATCACATGTAATACTGTCCGCTCCGTGTTCCCTAACTGTTTCTCCAACAGGATAAAAAGATGCTATAAATAGTGGTGACCGACCTAGAATATCACAAATGTTGATGTCGGAGTTGTTCTGAATAAGTTTTTCTACAATAGAAAAATGACATTTCCATACTGCCAAAAATAAAGGTGACCGATTGTAAACATCGCTCTTGTTGATGTGGGCTCCGTATTCAATAAGTTTTTCTACAATGGGAAGATGGCCTTCCAATGACGCCAAAAATAGAGATGACCGACCAGCACTATCACACTTGTTGATACTGGCACCATGTTGAATAAGTTTTTCTACGACAAGAACATGGCCTCTGCTTGACGCTTCATGTAAAGGTGATACATCATTTTTATTGCATTGGTTACATTCAGTTCCCTTTTTGATTAATGTTTCTACGACGGACACATGACCATAATGTGATGCTAAATGAAGAGGTGACATAGCATCATTATCATATATATTATAGTCGGCACCGTGTTCTATAAGTTTTTCTACAACTTGAAGATGTCCTTTCCCTGAAGCTAAATGTAAAGGTGACTGATCATCAATATTGCACTTGTTGATGTCGGCACCGTGTTTAATGAGTTTTTCTACAACAGGAAGATGGCCTCCTAACGACGCGTAAAGTAGTGGCGACCAGGCATTATCGTCGCACTTGTTGATGTCGGCACCGTATTCCATAAGCTTTTCTACCACTCCAAGATGGCCTTTCCACGATGCACATTCTAGAGGTGTGAGATTTTTTATATTACACTTGTTAATATTATCACCATATTCAATTAGTTTTTCTACAATAGGAAGATAACCTTCCAATGACGCAAAATATAGTGGTGAGCGACCCTCAACATCAAGCTGGTTTATATAAGAATCGTGTTCAACAAGGGTGTCTGATGTTGTATGTAAGTGTGAAAAATCAGTTATATTGGTTTGATTATATTCTGTTTTGTGCCTGAGCAATGCTTCAACAATGGACACATGACCATATTGTGATGCAAAATGAAGAGGTGACCTTGCATCATTATCACCTATATTATAGTCAGCGCCATATTCAATGAGTTTTTCTACAACAAGAAGATAGCCTTTCCATGACGCGAAACAGAGGGGTGTGCAACCGTTATTAGCATATTTGTTGATGTTGGCACCGTGGCTAATGAGTTTTTCTACAACAGCAGCATGACCATTTACTGATGCTCTATGTAGAGGTGTTAATTTATCTTGATCGCATCTATCACATTCAGCTCCTTTTCGAATTAATGTTTCTACAACGGGTAAATGACCATTTTGTGATGCTAAATGCAGAGATGACTGACATTCAATATCAGTCTTGTTGATGTCGGCACCGTGCTCGATAAGTTTTTCTACAACAGCAAGATGACCTTTCTTTGATGCTAATTGTAACGGTGACCGTCCATCAATATCACACTTGTTTATGTCGGCACCATGTTCAATAAGTTTTCTTACAACAAGAATATGACCTTTTTCTGATGCTGCATGCAGAGGTGATAATTCATTTTTACTGCATGCGTTTAAATCAGCTCTGTGCATAATTAATGTGTCCACAATGGACACATGACCATATTGTGATGCTATATGAAGAGATGACCGAGCATTTAAATCACATTTGTTGATTTCGCTGCCGTGTTCGATGAGTTTTTCTACGACACCCAGATGACCATATTTTGATCCCAGAAAAAGAGGAAAAACTCCTTTTCCATCACATTTGTTATAATCAGCACCGTATTTAAGTAAGCATTCGACCATGTTGAGATCCCCTACTTTAGCTGGTGTCCACAAAGCAGGATAAAAACTGTATTCGGGATTTAAATCCGCATCATTGTTCAAAAGATACTTGATAACATCATTTTTCATACTCAGACAAGCAGCAATAACTGGGGTCATACATCTGTGTCTATTATGCAATAATCTGATATTTCCCACAGGCATTTTATTAATATTTTCCTTTCCAACTTTTTCTACAAAGATTTTTACCATATCTAAATTTCCGTTAAAACATGCTAACACAAGTAATCTTACTTGTTCTTCCTGTGTCGATCCAAAAACAATGTTTGTGAGGTCATGATTCCTACCCACCAAATCTATAAAAAAATTTTAGCAAATCGAAGTGACCGTAATAAATTATAAAACTGATAGCGCGTATTCCATAAATTTTCTTTCGGCCAATACATTTAAGATCGAGTAGAAGATTCTGCCTGTCAAGCTCTCTCTGTCCTATTGTGTCTTGGTCTCCTTTTTTGCTTTGGATTTTTGAGTCAAGAATAATGCTTTTGAAACATTCTTCTCTTGGTAGTAAGAAAGAGGTTTTGACATCCTCGTATGGCGCTTTTGTCAATAAATTCAGGAACTGCTGTTTAAAATCAAAATCCCTTAGTGCTTTGTTTAGAAACACATCATGTAACTTCCCTCTCTTTACATCAGCATATAATCTTTTTGCTAGATGCTCATAATAAGATTTGTTCAATGTGATGCAAATGTCATTTCCTGTCTTCGTGTTTTTTAAAACAACCCTCTTTGCAATGAAATTGCTGCTCATATGCTCCAAAATTTGGTCGGGAAACTGCTGGCCATAGTGATAGGCAACAACTTCAAATATTGAATCATGAATAAAAGTATATTTTTTATCGCTTTCTGTAATGTAGGTACCTTTTAGGTGTGACAATTTCTCAAATATTTCCCAATTTTGAGGTGTTCCCTCAACTTTACAAGATCTGCAAACATTCTCCAGCATTCTTTTGTTCGTTAACATTTTATCAGATAGGCCATTGTTGTACAGCATGCAGAGAACCATTGACAAATATTGCAGTTTATTTCGCTTTTGAATTTTATCTATATCTGAAATCCAGCACTTATTTGGATATTTAAAGAACTCGATTCCATATTCCCTGATGCGTTTATCACTACTAAAGACTTGACAAAGAAGTGGAAACATGAGAACTCCTTTTTCTTGGAGAAGTATTGAATCAATGGCATATGAAATCCCTGCTATTTTAAAATGAGTTTCTAATATACCTTTTCGATCCTCCGTTGTTAGGCGATGTTCTTTGCTATCTAAATTGAGGATATTATCAACTTCAAAAAACACTACATCTAATTCCTTTGCTTCATTGTACACTGCCAATCTACAGGACATAAATAATTTTGATCTCTTTGATTCTTTATCGAGGACATTTTCTATTTGTTCACTATGTCTTTCTAAATCTGATAGCAAATTTCTTTCTAAATCAAACACACCTAAAACATCATCTATGACAAATATTTGAGGTCTGTTTAAGTCACCATAGTTGAGGATGTCTTCTGGTTTGGATATTGGAACAATCTGATACAGTAACTCGGATTCTAGTTGTAAAGCGATGTGGCGGATCAAGGCAGTTTTCCCAGATCCAGGAGACCCAACTACAGCAACGATTTGATGGGAAATAAAAAAATCTTTTACGTCTTCAAAAAAAGAAGTTTCATAAAAGACGTCTCTTTTCCATGAATGTATTATCCTTATATGTTGACCTAGAAAATTGAGACATTTTGTTTTAGTTATATATATATATATATATATATATATATATATATATATATATATATATATATATATATATATATATATATATATATATATATACTCTGATTTAAGGACTAGGGAGACCAGACCATTATATATGGCTTAAGGAGACAATATACAAATTTTTTAAATTTGCTTTTTTCTAAAAAGAAATACCAGATCAAAGATCTATAGAACACCATTTAGTCGACTCTTGGTTTATTTTTTCATAATAAATGCCTCCTAAAAATATATGAAAAAAATGGTCTCCTTAATATTTTATGTTTCTCTCATATGACTTAAGGAGACCAGTGTATATTTTTTATAAATATAACTTGTGGTTTAAGTAGACCATTTTTCTTTCATAGTAATTTCACTTATTATGCATTAATTAACATATTGTTTCCAACCAGAATAGTTGCGGATGGTCATTAGTCAAGGTCAGCAGAAAGATATTTGTGCTAATGTGACTCAACATGATCAGTACAAAACTTTGAAATAAACTAAAGTCATTGCACAAGTGACTTAAATAGAGAGTAGTTGCCCCAGTGGCGCAGTGGTTAGAGCGTCTGCTCTAGAGTAGCGAAGTAAGGAGTTAATCCTTACGTCGCAGGTTCAAATCCCACTGTGGGGTGGGGAGACCGGTCCTTCAGATGAGACCGTATAAATCGAGGTCCTGTATCGCAGTAGGTGCTGGCACGAAAAAAATCCCTCGATGCTCAATGGCCGTAAGTGCCGATATAGGACAAAATTTGGAGATCTCCACCGGCATGTGGTGGTGTCTCCATTTGAGTGAAAAAATCTTGAGAGGAATGTTAAACAACATTCAATCAATCAATATATAGAGAGTATAAGCCCAGAGTAGCTTGTTCTGATATCCACATTTAACTCTCAATGCTGTCGCCCACGTGGTGCAGTGGAAAGAGCCAATGCTCTAGAGTCGTGGAGTTAGTTGATCCTTTTCTCACATGTTTGAATCCCACTGTGGGACGTAGAGACCGGTCCTTCGTACAAGCAGAGGTCCAGTGTCGCAGTAGATGCTGGCATGAAAAAGATCCCTCACTGCCCATTGGCCCTGAGTGCCGAGCATAGCTCATTTGCAGCTCTCCATCGGCAAGTGTTGGCATCTCCATATGAGTGAAAAATTCTCCAGAGGGACGTTAAACAACAAACAAGCTCTCAATGCCCAAAACAGTTTAACCTAAAAGTGAATGCAGACATAGATTATTCTTTAGACCAAGTATAGTATACTCCATATTGTTTTGTTGAGGACACAAAGTTCACAGTGGACATCAAGTAGTTTTTCCTGCTATTTATACCAAGCTCTTTTAAACCATATAGTCACTGAGTGCATTCGCTTTCCAACTAATTGATGAAGTTCTGACCTATGCCTATATTTGTTTAAATTCTTTCTGATTTAAGAATACATTTGACCAGTTGAAACCAAGAGTACATGTACTACATAAAATTTCAAGGTTGTGATTAGGATTCAGTCAAAATTATGCCCCATACAGTATAGCAATATGTGGATGCCATGTTCAATATACATATTTGCTATCATTAAACTTGCAGAGACCATGAATCAAAATAATTCAAATGCTTAAAAATCATTTTATTTTTACTGCTAGTCAAAATACAGTCACTCAAGCATATCCTTTGTTAATTTGAAAAAAAAATGATAGTTTAACATTTATTATTAATACCATACCAAAGCACAAGATAGTGCACTTCTTACATAATCCAATGATTCATGCCGTGATTTTACCTATTTAGATGTTTCTTATTTACAGTTCAGTATACATGATATACCAGTACAATGTGACACTAACCTAGTATCTGTTAAATGGATCATTACTATTCTGTTTTTAAGAAGTTTGCAGGGTAAAAAGTATAATAAAATAAAAATGTTGATACATTTATTGATTGCCTATGCTTAATACTTTTATAAAATATCAAACATTGTATCATAACAGCTTTAACAAATGAATTCAATACATTCAAAGATACAAAAATCAAATTATTTTCATCCACAATTTTATCATATTCAGTTGAACAACAGCTACATCTATTATATAAAATGTATGGTAGTTGGCACTGATGGTATATATATCCTGAGCAAAGAAAAAACATACCTAATCAAAGAATACAAAGCTCACTTCTATAAATGTTATCTACTAGTAAGGCAAAGTCTCACTCAACAAACACTCTGGTAATGTATATCACCTGGATCCAAAATCTATGCAAGTTGGTCTGGGTTAGATTTAACTGCTCAATAACCCTGAAAATGTATGTTACATCCAGCATCAGAAGCAGGATACATCATCTATGTTTACTGATCACCAAAGAGTATATTGTTACTTTGAATGAACCTTCTCTAAAAAACTGGTCATTAATCCAGAAAATCTAAGTCAAATCAAGGATTGGTACCCTGAAACATTTACATGTACATACATCATCTTTGCAGGTTTATTCAACGTAGAGTTTATAATTACATGAGAATACGACTGCTCAAAACACTTAATCTTGTGGAGTCCCCCATGTGGCGCAAAGGATAGAGTTTGTAATCTAGAGTCGCGAGTAAGGATTTAATCCTTAAGTCTCAGGTTCAAATCCACTGGGGATGTGGGGACCAGTCCTTCAGATTAGACCATGTAAACCGAGGTCCCCCCTAGCAGTTGATGTGGGCACAAAAAAGATCCCTTACTGCTCAGGCTCCGAGTGCAAAGTATAGGTCAAATTTTGCAGCTCTCCACCAGCAAGTAGTGGCATCTCCATATGGATGAAAAATTCTTGAGAGGGATGTTAAACAACAAACAAACAAAAACAAAAAAAAAAAACACATGAGGAAAATGTAGATCAGGTCAAGCATCTGAAGTAAATCTGTTAATGTGCTTTAATCCATGCAAGTTTGTCCAGGTAGAGCTTAGGAATGAACCTTGCTCCTTAAATTTTAACTGGGATGACAATGCTAGGTATATAATAAGAACTCATCTAGACTGTCCAGAAAAGCTAAAAAAATATTTAGCAATTTCTTACTTGCATGATTTAAAAAAATCTGCAATCTAACATTATTTCAAAAAAAAATCCAACACATTTTCTAATTTTCAACAAATTCAATGCACTATGAGACGATTTAACATTTCTTAACCACATACACTGTACTTAAAGTGCAATATACATGCATTATACTGTATGTTAAATCTTTACAGTTTTCTTCAAGTACTCTAATAGTATATGAAATATGAAGATTACCAACAGTGATCAAGCTTTAAAGTCCATTGAAATAATACATAATTAGAGCAGAGCAAACACAGACCTCTAAAAACACCAGGTGCAATGGAGGAGAAAGCATTTCCTGCCATGTGCTCCTTGACATGACTGGGCAAATGGAAAAATCCACAAACAATTCAGTGTAAACAATTTTGATGAAAAACATTAGTCAACATTCAACTTAATGATCGATTGAATTTGCTATAACAATTAATTTACACGTAAGTGTACACACATGTATGCATACTAGATGAATTATTTCACAATATCCAAAATTGGACAATAATAGTTTCTAATCTAGCTAGACAACAGGAAATTTTCATTATTACTTACATTACATGAAACTATTGAAGTCTGTGAGCTACAAATTATATCTAAAAATGATACACATTTTAACAACTGTTTACAGTTTAGTGTATTTATTATACACAAATGATGACTTAGTAATTATGACATACTAGTAAAGTCCACAGATTGACTTCCAGATTTCAGCTCAAAGGCTTGAAGATTTTTAGTGGCTCTTTCATCATTTTTTTTTTCACTGAATATTTTCATTTTTATTTTCAAGACGCTGTTTTTGTTGAGGTCTTTTAGCAGTTTGATGCAATCCAAGAACTCCAAGGGCAATTTAAGAACTCCTGAATTTCTTTCTTACCTGGAAAAAATAAAAATTTAAAAGTTTAAAATATATTCAACTTACATGAAGAAAACTAGTAAAACTAGTGATAATGTAATAGACCTTTCAGATGTTCCAAAGCAGGTACATGTATCTAATTAAAAAATATAAAGTTTGAAGTATTTAGAGTCACCTGTACTCTGAACATGGGATATATGTATTTGACAGACAGATGAATGAATAGACTGATCACTATAGAGCACCTTAGTCTTTTTTCAATAATCTTTATATTAGTGAAAATCAAATAGGAACTAGAGTGTTTCAAGGAATGTATATGTCACCTGCTAGGTATCCTCATTAAAGAGGTAAATAAATCTAAGAGTGGTCAGCTATTAATTTAATATTAGCATGGAGGTTCATGCATTTGCCTGCAAGGAAAAAAAGGATCCAAAAGTAAAAGACTGGGATAGAATCTGGCAATCAAAGAAAATATGGTTCCCCAGTCCTCAAATGAATAATTTAATTGAAATTATGAGGAATAACTATTTATCATTTTATTAATACACATGTAGGTGCTTCCAACAATCCTCGGAGGAAAGGAATTTCAGACTGTCTTTACTTTAATTGTCACTTTGTCAGTCAACACGATTCATTGTGGAATACTGATCCCAATGTATTTTCATAGTATTTAAATATAAGTTTGTGTGGTAACTGAATTTCATACAGTTTCAAAGTATAGTATCATGAGCTCAAAAACATATATAAATGCTAATTATCAAAACCCTGCCTCTCAAAATTTTGGAGATATAAAGTGTGACAGACGGACAGACAGACACCAGATAAAGTGATCACTAAGTGGCGTTCTGCTCTGCAGTTGACACAAAAATGAAAGTTAGTCAATTTTTGACCATGTATTTCACTTCAGTGATGAAAGGAATGCTGAAGTGGTAAGTCTATCCTAATTATTTGAAAATACGGCAACCCCATTGGTCAGAATATAATACATATCCCGTCCAGCCTTAATTTCATTGGCATAAAGCAGCACAAAACACGATTTGATTGGATGGTGCAACTTGTTTTTCTAGGGGGTGCTGTTGCAACCCTGGAAAAGAAAACAGGACTGGGGCTTGCCTCTAGGGGGCACTTACTGACCGGAAGTAAACAAACAACAGAAATAGCAATACACTAGAAATATGTCCATAGGACATGTATGACTGCTGAGTGTATAGTAAAAACAACATGAAATTTTGTGTTAGTGTATGAAGTTTGATGAGAATATCTTGAAAAGTTTCTTTAAAATTGAAATTGAAATCTAAAAAAAATGGATATAGATGATAAATTCTCACCAAATTATGTATAGATGCATAGCCTTAGATATCAATATTTTAAATGGTTTTAAAACCATGCAAAATGCAAATTGAAGGAAAGTGAGGTCAAGGTCACAGGAAAGGTCAAAAGTTTTTGAAATAGTTGAATCGGTCTTACTAATTATATATGTATCAGCATATTAAGTTTGATAAAAAATATCTTGAATGATTTCTTTAAAACTGAGCTAGTCACAAGCGTGGCGCCATGGTTAGAGCGTCTGCTCTAGAGTCACGAAGTAAGGAGTTGATCCTTATGTCGCAGGTTTGAATCCCACTGTGGGACATGGAGACCAGTCCTTCTGATGAGACCTTATAAACCAAGGTCCTGTGTCACAGTAGGTGCTGGCATGAAAAAGACCCCTCACTGCTCAATGGCCATGAGTGCAGAGTATAGGACAGAATTTGCAGCTTTCCACTGGCAAGTGGTGGCGTCTCCATACGAGTGTAAAATTCTCGAGAAGGCCTGCAGATTACCTGTTATGATTGCGCAGCTATGTTTAGGCTTCCCGAAGCTTTAAAATGGGCTCAAAACATAATTTGTCATTGCGAGGTTGGTTTTAGTTTTAATTTAAAAGTATTGAACTTAAGTACTTCCAATTTATATAGAGGATTTCCTCGGCTATGTATTAACATATTTGTTATGATATCACATGACTTTGCTGATCACATGACGGTCATTTATAATTTTTTGAAGTGTTTCATATAAATCGCTTCGGCGCAGTTGATTTACACAATAATTTACATTTTGTTATAAAAATAAGCTCATCGTATCTTTGTGTATCCGAAATGTGCTTGGGAAAAGTCATAGTATTACTTAGATACAAAATATTTCCAGAGAAATTCAACTTACCTACAAATTTGAGGGTATTTTCCACACAATATCGTAATCTGTATTAAAACAAAGCCAACACACATTTTTCCCAAGCAAGATTCAGTTAGAGAACAACCTCTTCTTACAGATTTCAACAAAAATTCTCAGATTAATCCTCATTCTTCACCTGCGCCAGACTCTTTTATACACACTAAATAAATTCTACCTCCAACCACGGGTATAAAACAGAGTACATTTCAAAAGTATATTTTTCATAAGCATTTTGAACATGCTGAATTTCAATCAAGGGTAGGTAAGCGGTGTATTTTTAAAATATTCTGACATATACGACTTAAACAAACCTTTAACGACCCGTGAATTTTGCAATAGCTACCTAGCATTTTACATGCAGTTTCAAATAAAGTGTAAAGTTCATGACACTCTCCCCGTCATAACACCTCAAGATTTCAGTGACTTGACGTCATTTTCCATTATGACGTCATATTTTGGTAGTTCAGAGATGTGAAGGCACAGAGTGCACCTTGATATTCTACGGGAAGCCTAACCTACCTGCGTGACCAAAATCCCTACTAGGCTTTAAACTCTTCATTTTTGACCTGTATTTCGTCAAATAAGATTTTTCCAGTTAATTAAGGTAAAATTACTAATTGTTAAAACTGTAAATGATTTTTTTTTTTTTTTAACCTGAGCCAGATTTTTACTTTTCTAAAAAGTGTCTGTATTTGACTGTTGGTTCCACCTATCTCAAGGAAATGATCTGTAAAAGCTAGTAAATGTTAGAAATCATAATCTGTTCTCTATCTACTATAATCATGAGAAAAGGTGTTGAAAATTAACAGATGGAGATAAAATCAGCAGTCATATTAAAGGCTTTTTTCAATAATCAATTTATTAGTGAAAATCATAAAAGTATTAGGCAAAAATGAAAAATAAATGTTGTCATTAATTAACCTTGCATATCTCTACAATTTTCTGATAAGAAAATTATACCCGATGGATGCAATATAATCACCCTTTGCCTGCCCCTAAATTAAATTATGAAATTTTGATAGATTTTGATCTAGTAAGCAATTATTTAAAACAAGGTTCTTTTAGAGGTGCCTAGGGTCGAAATTCATAGAAAAAAAACTACAAAAAACGTGAAAACCTATTTCTATCATACTGGTTTATATTTATTACAAATGTCCTCATAGTCAGCATAGCCCAGAACGATAGACCGCAGACTCTCACCATGAACATTTTTAGTGTCCTGGTTCGAAACCATTTGTTGGCACATTTTTATTTTTTCAAACTTTTTACCTGTATAAACACTAAAGAACGAGTGCACTTATGGGCCCCGGTAAAATGTGACAAAATGAAGAATTAAATTAAGCATAATTTTCCATCTCAGATCATTAATTGATATCTAAACCATAAGATTCAACAAATTTTATCGCTGAAATTCATGAATATAC